AAAAAAAAAAAAAAAGTAACTCAATGGAAAAGCCTTCCACACAGTTTAGCTCCATTTTGTCAAGTGTTACTGAGTGTGTAATGTGGCCTTTTCTCAAATGATAGAAAAGATGTATCATTAAGGAATGCATTCTTTTTTAGCAGCTCTGGGTTAAGTGCGGTGATTTTCACCTGCTGGGTCCACAACTCAAAAGTGAGTCATGGACCCCTTTTGGCTTGGGTGGGTATAACTTGTTTTTCAAAGTGAATGATGTCCTATCCTATGCCCAAAACAACATCAATCTTCTGGGTAGAATGCGTGCAGTTGTCAAATAAGTCATCCTCGGGGCTTTCCCTTGGTGTCACCACCTCGCGGACCCACGCGCCGTAGTACTTGGGGAAAATGATGGCAGCGAAAAGCAATGTTCATGTAATACTCTCGATTTGCCACGTTTTCATCATGTCAAGGTCATGCCGATGTCACAGATCAAAACGGAAGGAGACCACCCGGGGGGACACGAGGCGGCGGCGGCGGGGATGAATTGGAGAGAAGATGAATGGGAGAGTTGGAAATGAGTTACAGAGCCAAAATGAAAACAGATGGAAAAGAGTTGTCTGGTTTGGATTAATATGGATTAAAAAAGAGGAGTGTGTGTGTGTTTGTGTGTGTGTGTAATATGCACAGTTGTGTCTGACTGCTGGCTTCCTCATTTGGCACTCCTCACGATGTGATGAAGAGGGAGAGCAGGCTGCAAGTAAAGCAGGGGGTGAGTGCATTTTTCTTATATTTCATTGAATTTAACGTCTGTATTCATGTACGTGATGTCAAATTAAGCCTGGTTGAGAACTGGGCGTTTTCTTCTGCTTTGCTTCTCATTGACCCCTAATTACCATAACTTTGCTGTTTTTTCTGTTGTATTCCCCCCACCCTCTCCCTTAGTGAAATCCTTTAAATTGGGTAAAAGCCTGCACCTTTTGTGGAAAATCAAATTCAAAATTGTCAGTCAATAGTTGTTTGCAAGTAATGCGATGAGACGAGACAAAGTTTGACACCCCTGTTATAAGGCCCACGCACACGCACAGCCGTACGATTCTCTCCACACCCGTTGACCAGTGTCTCCGCCACCCAGGCATGATGGCGTTCCTTCAGCAAATGCGTTCCCCGGCGCTCTCCTTCATCCTTAGTGAAATCCTTTAAATTGGGTAAAAGCCTGCACCTTTTATGGAAAATCAAATTCAAAATTGTCAGTCAATAGTTGTTTGCAAGTAATGCGATGAGACGAGACAAAGTTTGACACCCCTGTTATAAGGCCCACGCACACGCACAGCCGTACGATTCTCTCCACACCCGTTGACCAGTGTCTCCGCCACCCAGGCATGATGGCGTTCCTTCAGCAAATGCGTTCCCCGGCGCTCTCCTTCATTCAGACGGTCGTGTCTCTCTGCCTGGCTGCCATGGCGCTCACGTCCTCCTACTGGTGTGTGGGCAAACAGAAGGTACCCAAGCCTCTGTGCTCCCCCACCAAGCATAGCAAATGTATCCCGGTTCCCGGCCTGTCCAACTCGTCCAGTGTCCAGTTATCCTGGGAGACGGGAGACGACCGCTTCGTCTTCCCCGTCTTTCACACGGGCCTGTTTGTCACTTGCGAGGAGAACATCTACACGGATGCGTGGGGTGAGTGCGGAACACACAATGCACAAGGCCGCGGTGAAATGTTGAGATTATTAAAACGTGGTGCTGAAAAGTTCAAATCGCAAAGGACATGCACAGCCACAGTATGAGCTACGCTTATGGAATCGAATGATAACCGGTGCCAGAGCTGTTCATAATTCTGCCGTTACAAAGATCATGACATTGGATTGAAACCGTGATAAATGGATTGAAACCGTATTTAGAAATATTCATTTAAGGCTGAAGTCTCCAAACGAATGCCCACGGGCCATTTGCGGCCTGCCATCCCCTTTTCAGCGGCCCCCATCAAATACCAAAAATTACATTTGACATGGGCCCGCAAAGTCAGCATTATTATTTTATGAAGGCAAGATTTTGGATCCAACAATCGCGTTGGCTCTCATTAAATGGCGCAGATGTACGTGAAGTTTAAATGAGATCCTCACATTAATGCACAAAATTGTTATAATTAGCTGTCCATGCCATAGTTGTGCCATTTCCACTGGGATTAATGTGAGTGCAGCACAGTGAGATGAAGATCCACACAAACAGGAAGCGCAGACAGCAAATTGGGTCATAGAGGGAGTGGAAATCCAAGGTGAGAATCGGGCCTGAGCTCCTGGTCTGTGTTAGTTGCAATTTGTGTGGGTCAGTGTCAGTGTGTGCGTGTGCGTGTGTTATAATTAGCTGTCCATGCCATAGTTGTGCCATTTCCACTGGGATTAATGTGAGTGCAGCACAGTGAGATGAAGATCCACACAAACAGGAAGCGCAGACAGCAAATTGGGTCATAGAGGGAGTGGAAATCCAAGGTGAGAATCGGGCCTGAGCTCCTGGTCTGTGTTAGTTGCAATTTGTGTGGGTCAGTGTCAGTGTGTGCGTGTGCGTGTGTGTGTGCGCGCTCATCCTAAAGGGGATTAACTCAAGTGTGTTTTCTACTTGTGGAGATTTAGTCTTCAGCAGTATGGCTCAATCATGGATCAGGAATCCGAAGAGCAAAAGGTCAATAGAATGCACAAACACGGACTGAATATCATCTGATTATCTATTAGTGATTAATTATACCAGAATCGAACCCAGCACATCTGCGCTATGAGGCCGACGTGCGAACCATTCAATCACCGTGTCGCCTTCACAAGCATTTTTTGCGAGGATAAATGGTCAACTTCCAAATTGTATGACTTCATAGGTGTCCACTGTCCTGTCTCATTTCTATTCCAGAGGAGAAGTGTCGGGGGTTCTACACTTTGACACCGAGTTCTGAAAGAGGTGACTTGCATCCCTCCTTCTGGGCACATTTTAAATTGCTCGTAAATTCTTTCGGATGCTTTGTCCTTCTCTTTTCTCTCAGCCATGATGTGGCTTTCGCTGTCCTTGGAGCTCCTGTACGTGGGTCTGCTGCTCATCAGCTGCATCCTGCTCTCTGTGCAGTTGTGCATCAGGGCCTGGTTCCCCTCCACGCAGCGCTGCGGCCAGCTGCTCAACGCCTTTGCTGCTGTTTTCACAGTCTTGGGAGGTGCAGAATTGCTTTATGGACCATTTCATGTCACCGATGCCTGTGGTATTCTGGAGTACAGTATATCTTTTTATTTTTATTTTTTTGCCCCTCCTTGGCCTCCCCAGGTCTGCTTGGAATGGTGGGTCACATGATGTTCATGCAAGTGTTTCAGACTACAGTGTCCATGGGCCCAGAGGACTTCAAGCCTCACAGTTATGGCTACTCTTGGGCGTTCTAGTGAGTACTTTGAACGTACTGCGCGCATTGCAGCAAATTCTTCATAAAGAGGCTTGATGCCTTTGAAGTCAAATGAAAGTGCTGGATGTTTTCAGTCGTGAACATATTCCCTGTTTTGCGTCTCCTTCAGCGTGGCCTGGTTCGCCTTCACTGTCTGCATGTCAGCTGGAGTCTCCACCCTGAACAACTACACAAAGAACGTCCTCATGGTGGGAGCCCGGCTGAACTCCAGCCTCAACCCCTTCAACTTTGTGGGGCTCCTGCCCCCGGCACCTTATTTCTCTGCACCCAACTCCGGCATGGTCCGCGCTTTTCACCAATCCCACGCGCCAATCTCCCATTTGTCCCCTTACTACGAGCAGCCGCCATCCAAGTCACCACCACCACCACCACCCGGTAAGCCTTCCTACTCCATTCCTCTACCCTACTCGGCGTCCTTCCCTCCTCCGTCCTCCCACCTCGCGTCTGCATCCCCTTTGCACCGCTTGTCCCTCCCATCTCCATCTCACTCGCCCAGCTCACCCGCTCTTGTCCGTGGACCCCTGAAAGGTCATCAGGAGAACATGGTCCCCCTTTACACGACGCAGGATTACTGCAGCCCTCTTTGAACCCTTATGGTGCAGTTCATTCGGTCAGGTGCTAACACAGTTTTCGAACTCGTGTGCGGATCAAAATCGACCAGT